AAGTGGCAGCATCAATGGGCTCAAGTGTGGCCACGATAGTGAGGTTGGCCCAGGATCGGGCAGTGTTTCGTTCTGCTGTGCATAAGGTCGCTATGAGTTGGTACCAACTCAATGGCACCGAACAACAACAACAACAACATAGTAGAGATATTAAATCACTAGAAGTGATTACTGATTTTACTAATTTTAATATGCAGCTTGTTCACTCCAAAATAGTGCATGATTTTTCTTGCCCAACTTCTGACGTTAACGTAACAATTCAAGTTTTTCTCAGCAGGTTTGTTGGGCTTTGCCTTTAGAAATGTGTGTGTGTGTAAATATGTGTTGTGTGTCCCCTTCCCCATTTTTAATTTTAATTTTAGCTTTCATGTGGTCTCGCATCATATGTATTTTACTTGTCGACGTGTTGATTTTCTTTCTCTTCACTGAAACGTAAACTTCATGAAGGTAGAGAATTTGTCTGTTGTGTTCACAACATTACCCCCAGAAGCTAGCTAGAAGGCTGTCTAGTATTTCGGTGAATAGTTGCTGATTAAGTGAAAATGTATGTACATATATAATTATTTTAAGAATAATTTCATGACTGTATTATTCAAGTGGGATAGAGACGAGGCTAGGAAGATGGATCCTCAATTTTTGTCAGATTTCAAATTTATGATAGGCCTGGGACATGTTCTTAGTCCAAGAAGACAATGACAACCAGTGGGAAAGAGCACTCCTAAATGTGACTGGGTTGTAGCAGGGAAGAAGATGAGGTGAACTGAGGGTCTTACCTGTCTTAGGCATCACTGGCTTTTGAGGGACCAGGCAGATCTCATTTTTCAGGATAAGTGGCTGAATATAATTGGGTGACAGGTGACCCTTCTGGATGGCATAGGCAATCAGGCCCTCCGCGGCTGATAAGGCAGCAGGAGTAGGGCTGCTACCTGTAAGAGGATGTCATAGAATGCATAACTATCATTATGAAACTCCAGCCTGATCTAGACACCAGGAGGGAGGATAAAATAACTATTTGATGCTGAATAACTGATGGATGGGGAGAGAGGAAACTTGTCCAATAGCTAGACAGAGAACCTAAGGGTCTGAACAAAGTCCTCAGCAGTGTGAAGATCTTATTCAATTGCCAAACTAAGACTTAATGAATCTGTTTCATCTCTAGGTGGAATGGTTGGGAAGCAGTAAAAGCTACATGCAGAAGGAAGCCCACCTGACAAAGTCAGGTAGATCCATTAGCATTTACAAAGTAGTTCTCATAACCAGGCCTGCGGCAAGATCTTCATAAATATTAACTTATTTCATTCTCATAGAAAATCTCTGTGATGAATGTTATTAGCAACCTGACTGGCAGATGAAGATATTAAGTGTCCATTATTTGTCTATTATCTCTCAAGTCCATTCCTATTTCTAGGCACTGCTCTGTTTTGCTGAGAGTTAGAAGCCTTCAAAGTGCATTTCTCAGACTTCCTTGCCTCTTGGATTCTGCTGGAGTTCTACCAATGGGAAACTCTGGAAGAATAGAGAAGTCATGCTTTTCAGGTTCTGGCAGCTACAACAACAGTATCAGACAAGTGAAGACTTCCAAAGTGATGGTAACTACTGTGAACAGTAATGTCAATAGTGGTTTCAGCAATATCACAGGAGTGCAGACCAGAAAGGAGGAAAAAGACAAAAAGAATGTCATGTCACAGAAGCCAAGGAAGGTCATCAGAGAAGATAAGTATGATATAGGATAAAAACACAAAGTGAGAGAACAGAGGAAGAAAATGTAGCAAAGGGTCAGCAAAGGATGTTCATTACCCATCTTACTGCCAAAAAAGGCAATGCCCAGAGAGTTGTTATTGTAGCCTTGGGTGTGCAAGCCTTGGGTGTTCCAGCCAACACCTTCATACACCCTGCCATCATCCCCAATCAGGAAGCTGTCAATCAAGAAAAAATAAGTTTAATGGCTAATCCTTATATCAGAATCATCTCACAATCCTCAGATGGTCCTAGAGATCCTTAAATAAATACTGTGCTTCAATAACATCACAGTGGAGGGTGGTGGTGGGAAGTAACCAGTTTTAGACCTCCAAGAGATGTAGACTGTTGTTAGTTATCATTGAGTCCACCTCAGATTCATGATGACTCCATTCAAAGCAGATTAAAACACTGTCAAGTACTGTACCATCTCCAGGAAGGGTTATGGAGTCTACAGTTTTAATTAATAGGTTTTTCATTAACTGATTTTCAGAATTAGATCACCAGACCTTTCTTCCTTGTCTGTCTTAGTCTGGAAGCACCACTGAAACCTTGTCTGTTTATAGCATTATGGCAACAAGCAAGCCACAGCTGCACAACAGGGCTGACTGTGTATGAGATGCATCTGCTGAAATCCAATGAGAATTGAACCATGCACGTGAGAGGCAAAAATTGTACCTCTAAGCCACCACCACCCTCAAGAGATACAGCACTTAACATCTCTTGTTGCGACTTAGATTTGTTTTCAGCTCCTCACTTTAAAACTATTAACCAAAATAGAATTCAAATGTGTGACTCTCCAGGACCCAAGAACATTAGCTCCACATATTTCAAGGGCTTTAAATGAATTCATCATGTTTTGTTTTGGGTTGGGTTTTTTACTTATAGGGCCAAGCAATTGAACATTCTTTAAAACAATCATTCTTTAAACCAAAATTCAGAAATTCCTTTAGTATTGGTTTTTCTTCACTTCTTAAGAATTCCCTAAAGGCCTTCTTTATAATAGGCATTTGGTTAGAATATCTTTTCTTCAGTTAATCTTTCCATTCAAATGTATCTGTTCTTTTACTCTACCTCCTCTTTTATTATGCCTACTTTTAACTTATTCATTCTCTAGTTTCCAATCACAGTCTTCAGAATTGATGTTTTCATAATTCTTACCATATTCAGCTCTTCATAGATGATGAGCTTCCACAGCAAATTGAAGACAGAGTGATACTTCCCTAAAGTCATAACAAGACCCTGAATTGAGTGAGGTCAACTTTCCACCCTACACTGACATGGACTTCAACAACCCATGGGGGAGCGTTAACATGTCTGCCATATCCCTGACTCTGCTGTCAGCCCTTTTAGTAGTTTCCTATGTCACAGTGATACTAGCCTTTGGTTGGGCCAGCATGAATAGATCCTTATGACTATCATTAGCCATAATGTAAAAACTGTATGACATTAAATTGTCACTGCAGAAATCTGACTTAGAAATACAGTGACTGAAATAAAGAACACAGTAGTGACAAAGAGTGGGTGTGTGCAGATACTGGTAGCAGGAACAGCAGCTGAGGCAGTTAATACACAAAGGATGGATCAGAAAAACACACAAACATATACGCATACCCAGAAACAATGGTGGTGACAGTGAGAAGCTCCAGCTACTCTTATTTATTTGATTAATAGGTTTTAAAAAAACATATTTTAAAAGACATGGGTTATCCTTTCCAAAATGAATAATTCAGAAATCATTCATATTTGTCTTTAGAATTCAGGAGGGAAAGATCCTATTCCTTCTTTCTATATATATATAAACATACATACATACATATAGTTGTTGGAGTCCTGGTGTGACACTGTGGGTTAATGCATTGGACTACAAAGTCAGTTTGAACCACTGACCTTTTGGTTTAAACTGACCTTGTGGTCCAGTGTTTATCCTATAGTGCCACACCAGGATTCCATATATATAGTTGTTTTGGAAGTCCATGGCACTTTCAATATTCTCCTCCAACATCATAACTCAAGAGCATCAATTCTTCTATGGTCTTCCTATTCACTGTCCAGCTTTCACATGTATATGGGTTATTGAAAATATCATGGCTTGGGTCAGGTGCACCTTAGTCCTCAAGCTGACATCTTTGCTCTCCAACACTTTAATAAGGTCTTATGCAGCAGATTTGCCCAATGCAATACGTCATTTGATTTCTTGACTGCTGCTTCCATGAGTGTTGATAGTTGATCCAAGAAGAATGAAATCCTTGACAACTTCAATCCATATCATAACATATATGCATATATATCATAACATATATGGATATATATATATGAATAAGGAAGACCATAAAAGAATTGAGACATTTGATTTATGATGTTGAAGGAGAATATTGAAAGTACCATGGACTGCCTAAAGAACCAACAGATCTGTGTTCGAAGAAATATAGTCAGAGTGTTCTTTGGAAGCTATGATGGCCAGGTTTCCTCTCTCATACTTTGGACATATTGTCAGGAGGGACCAGTCACTGGAGAAGATTATCATGTTTGGTAAAGTGGAGGGTCAGAGAAAACGAGGAAGATTCCCCCCCAGCAAGATGGATTGGCACAGTGGCAGCATCTACAGGCTCAAAGGTAGCAACAATTATGGGGTTGGCCCAAGACTGGGCAGTGTTTCATTCTGTTGTGCATAAGGTTGCTATGAGTCAGTACCAACTCAATAGCACCTAACAACAACAATATATATATATTGTTCAAATCCACCAACAGCACCTGGGAAACCCTAAAGAGGATCACTAGGAGTTAGAACCAACTCGACGACACTTAACAACAATAAGTATTTTAAAGAAAGTCAGAAAGACCTCAAAGATGAACCAAGAGACAGCCAAGGACTATAAGGAATGAAGAAACAGTGGTTGAAGTCCCGAAACTGATGGAAGAAGACCATAGCATTACCATTGACCTCAGCTGATCTGAAGTGAGGGGAGATGCACAAAGTACACCCATACTAGAAGATAGTACCCATTTGACCTGGCTTCAATGGATGAATGATCAGAACTTGACTAGAGGAAGAAAGAAGAGGGGGACAAAGAGTAATCCACTACAATTTTATAAACTTGACCTATGCTTGTGGATATAGTAGCTCAAAAGAGGGAACAAATCTTTACAGAGAGGATCATTCCCACCCCCTCAGCACACAGGGTCAACAAGGATTGGTAGCTGGACCTGGGCTTTGTCACCTGTGAAATAAAGGTGGCTATATTTCTCCTACCCATTCCTTGGAAGAACTGGAAGTTTGTGAACCATGATGCACTGAAAGAATCAAGGAGGAGATGTAGTTATTACATAACCCTCCTTGCTTTTTGCTTCCTTTTAGGAGTTCTCAGGGTCCTAAACTACATCTGAATAAATGGCCCAGAATTATTCTTCTGAGTGACTTTCAGAGTACTGAGACTTTCTTTTGCCCTTTCTTTCTTCATTATTTATTTGTTTGTTTGTTTATAACATTTTGTATTCATTATATAAGCAGTTTAAATGAAACAAGAAACAAATGGGAGAAGCCAAAGAAAAGTGGAAGGAGGAGAGCCTTACACTGGGTAGCTGAATCCAAGTAGCTACTCTAGGCATTATTAATGGAAACCCACAGACAATCACCCTACCAGGGTAACTTAGAATGTGGGCTTAGGACAGACCAGTCTCTTACTTGTATGGCAGGTCGCACCAGCCTTTGGTGTAGACGAAATGAGATTGAAGTCCCCGCAGCTTCCAGCTACAAATGTTCTGCTCCTGGCACTCTAGCTTCATGAGCTGGTCCATGATGACGTAGGCCACAGGCTGTGTCAACTGGGCACTGCAGTTTAATGTTCTTGACCCCCACTCATTGCGGGAGACAAGGGTGGGAGTATCTGTAGAGGGACAACAGGATGGCATACAGCAGGTCCTATCTACTTCCTTCTCAACAGGCTGCCCACATTGCCTGAGTCCTCTCTCCCACATGATGTCTGCCCCTCTGTAGTAGAGAGACTCCAAAGAGGCCTCCACCACCAATTACCCGTTCTCACCCTGTTATACTAACTTTGACTAACAACTCTCTTCATGGGCTCTATATCCATCCTTGGGGGTCAAGTTGTCTTATTCTCCAAACTATTTTTCTACATAGCCCTGGAAGACAAATCCTACTCTCACCTCTCTCTGCACTGCTGCTCCCCTTCTTCAGAAAGCATCCGTACCTGACACTCCTAACTCCATTAGGAGTTGCTTTCTCTTGAGGTACCTTAGTAGAATGCGTTTTCCTCACTGGCATTTGTTCCTGCATCTCTGACTTTATCCTTTGTCCTTTGCCCTGCCCTCCACTTAGAATGATGACTTTCTGAGGAAATCAGTCCTCTAGCTCTCTCTCTTCAATCTAGGAGCTCCCAAGGGCCAGAGCCAACAGGAAGTTCCATGAACATGCATAAGGTATGAGCCTCTTTCTTACAGCTGGAACTCACTAGGGCAGAGCTGTGAGACCCTGCTCAGCACTACAGACTCCATCTGAATAAATGAGGGGAAGTAGGGGGAGAGAGTCTCCATCTTCACACCAGGAAATAAGAGATGAGATGCATGGGGGGGGAAGGGGGGGAGCAATTTTGTTTGTTTGTTTTCCTTCCTGGAATTCACCTTTATCTAAAGACTCGGGACATTCTATGGGAGTAGTTGGCCAATACACCACTGGGGATTCCACCCCTTATCACTCACCACCCAACCATAGGTCCTGATTTTCCAGCCACCTATGGGACCCAGCCAATCAATAAACCTCACCATTGTGGTCCATTTGAATGAGCTGTGAGATGTAGGAAAACAGTTCCAGAAACCTGTCGGACAAGTTTCTGACTTGTGTATCATTCCAGGTCTGAGGAAAATCTCCTGCAAAGGAACATTCCTCTTAGTGCTGGGCCTTGGAGAGTGCCTATATCAGCATTATTAGAAGCGTTAGTCAGACATCCCACTCACAGCCCACAAGATTTCTTCCTTTCCAAGTCCACTAACTTCCTCTAGGACACAATACTAAATTGACCAGAGAAGAACCATAGATATCTTTAACCCCCGCCTGCCTCTCCCTTCCACCTCTGCCCCAAGGAGGCCTTCATCATCCATCACCTCCAATCTTTTCATTCCATGTGAACTACAGTCTTCTTGCTCTGTATCTGAGCAGCTTTGCCTTTCTGATTTGCCTGCCCACTTACTAACAGAACTTTCCCCTGGGTATCCATCAGAGTTCTCTGTACCAAGATGCTCACCACTGTTTTGAGTAAACACTTACATGTGTATTAAGTACCTATAGATACCAGGCAAGGTTCTTAAAATATAAAAGTATACTAATGATAGTGGCTGTCCTCACAAGGTCCACAACTATATACTTCACTCAGGATTTATTGAACATTTGTCCTCACTTGCATGTCCTCATCCTCTACTGCTCCTGCATAGTACCAGAGGGCACAGAAGCAATAACCATCAGCATCATCACCAGCATCATCTCCCATGGACCAGCTCTATAGTGTATGAAGTATTGCTAAAGACACTACCATATCTGGGAGTTAGAACAAACTTATGAAGTAAGCAAAGCAAAATAACTACGCCCTCTATATAGTAGTCCTGGTGTGGCTCTGTGGGTTAATGCACCAGACTGCAAGCCATTTGAACTGCAAGGTCAGTGGTTCAAGCTCACCAGCAGCTCCTCGGAAAACCTATACAGGGTCGCTATGGGTTGGAACCAATGCTACAGCACTTAACAACAGCTTTATAGTAACTCCTCAGAAGTGTATACCGGAAGTGCTCAACTACTAACATGAAGGTCAGAAGTTCTTACTCACCCAGAGGTACCTTGAAAGAAAGACCTGAAAATCTGCTTCCAAAAGGTCATAGCCTCAAAAACCCTGTGCATCACAGTTATATTCTGCACACAGAGATGGAATAGACTTGGCAGAAACTGGTTTGGTCTTTATGGTTTTCTATGTAGGTAGGAAATAAATTATCAGAGAGGTTAAATTATTGTGTACGAGGATGAAGATTTTAAAAATTAGAGCTGGAATCCAAACCAGATTGTCTGACCCTAAAATTTGTCCTCAGAACACTATACTCTGTGGCCTCCTTAGACCTTGGACAAGTCATTGACTCAACCTAGACTATTTATCTGTCTATAAATCAAGGCACTAAGGGTTCCCATGGCTCTTCACATGGGATAATCAGGTACAAATCCATGAGCATACCATTGAGACACAGCTGTACTGGGAGGCTGGAAAGAGGGCTGAGGACTGGATCCCATCACAGCAGAGGAGGAAAGCTGTGAGCTGGACTGTGAATAGCACGGAGGAGAGGTGAGACGGGAGAGGGTAGTCTCCAAATGAAATCCATGGGGCTCAGCCAGAGGCAACATTAAATGGGCTGAGGACAGGTGCAGAGCAGAACCCAGAGGACCAGAATAATGGGCAAGACAACAACTCGCTGCCAATCTTGGGAAAATCACTTCACCTGTCAGGGCCTAGGGCTCTCCATTCATAAAATGAAGGGATGAATTACATATTACCTGGTCTGAGAATTTCTCCATGAACAACAACAACAAAAACTTATTGCCATTGAGTTGATGCCAATTCATGGAGATTCCATGTGCTACTGAGTAGACCTGAATTCCATAGGGTTTTCTTTGTTATAATTTTCACAAAAGAAGATTTCAAAGCCTTTCTTTCACTGTAATACTAAGTGGGTTCAAACTGCCAACCTTTAGCTTATTAGTCAAGTGCAAACCACTTACACCACCCAGAGATCTTCTCTCCAATACCAACTCTATTTAATCCCACAGAATTATCTAAGAAGCAGAGGGAGGAGAGAAGGCTGTATTACACCATTTTTCCTTCAGCACAGGTTCATGTATGGAAGACAACTTGAAAACATGCCTAATATCTAAGAATCACAAAACCACTTACATATAAAGTCACTTCAGCAACAATTATTTATTGAGAATTTGGTACATGCCTATAACTACATATGAAACTATATGAGGCCTAGACCTGATATAGAAAAAGGGCATTCCTACTCTGAAGGAATTTTCTCTTATTCTCAAATGTAGAGACAAGTGCAAGGCTTAACTCTGATTGGTATGCTAAAAATAATGGTGACAATTAACTAATAGCTATAATTTATCAAGCACTTTATCCAGCTATTATGAAAAATTTCCAATGTAATCCTCAAAAACAGCTCTAGGACATGAGCAATATTATCTGTATATCAAAAAAGCAAATAAGACTTAAATAAGTTGAGTAACTTTTTGAGGTCATAGCAAATGACTTGAACCCATAGTATCCTCTAGCCAAGGGAGGCTAGAGGATAATATAACTTCCCAAATTGGAGTATTGTTCAAGAGTTTATAGATCAGAAGAGCATCCAGAGTGCTCCTTTGAGGCCAAGATAGCCAAACTTCGTCTCTCATACTTCGGACATATTGTCAGGAGGGACCAGTCACTGGAGAAGGATGTCATATTTGGTAAGGTGAAGGGTCAGAGAAAAAGAGGAAGACCCCCCAGCAAGATGGATTGGCCAAGTGGCAACATCGATGGACTCAAGTGTGGCAACAGTAGTGAGGTTGGCCCAAGATCAGGCAGTGTTTCGTTCTGCTGTGCATAAGGTCACTATGAGTCGGTACCAACTCAACGGTACCCAACAACAACAACAGCCAAGGGAGAACACTGGGAGGATTTCTAGTATTTAACTTGAGGACAGTCGTCTGTTGCTCACCAAAAGCACATTTGATATAATGAAAGTAAACTCACCCCATGCCCTGAGACCCAGAACAGAGAAAACAAGAAGCCATGGCAGCATCTTCATGCCGTCCCAGGACACCAGTAAGGAGAGTGCAGACAAGGATCCTAGGAGAGACACTGGTAATTAACAAGGCCAAACTCTGTATCCACTCTTGTGGCACTGGAGGATAAGTACTGGACTGTAAATCACAAGTTCAGCATTCAAACCCAACTTGGAAACCCTACATAGGGTCACTATGAATTAAAACCAACTTAACAGCAACTCACTCTCCAGTTGGAGTACCTACCCTTTCTCATGGTGTGCCCATCTACCTCCCCATCACAGCCCACTTGGGGGCTAAGACCTTGCTTTGGCTTCTCATGGTTCCCAGCACCAGGCCTGGCATTCAGCAGGTGCTCAATAAATGTGATGGCACAAACACCTCTGTTTACTCCATCACCAGTACTCCTGTTACCCTGGGGAGTTCCTGGTCCTTCATAGGTGCCTGGTTCCTGCTCTTAGACCTTCCTAGGAAGATAATAACAGCTTCTAAAATCTTTGACTAGCTTCTGTGTATAAACCCCATATAAGTATATTTAATCTTTTCAAAATTATATTTAATCTTTTCAAAATTTAAGACAGATATTCTTATCCTCATTTTTAACAAAGGAGATTTATTACCAGAACGATTTGTGAGTCTGAAGTGTGTAGAGTCAAACTGCCATCCTACATAGAAATCCCCTCCAAATATGTCTGGTGGATGCTCAACTAACTTCTTCTTGAGTCGTAGTAATAAAGGCAACAACAGTTCCCATTTATTAATCACTTTCTATGTTCTAGATATTTGCTGAAGATGCACCAGATCTCTAATTAGGTATCATCACAATAATCTATAAGGTGCATACATTTCATCAGGAAACTGAACTTTATCAAGTTTAAGTCATTTGCCTAAAATTACTCAACTAAGAGTAGAACAAGATTCATATCTAGGTGTGTCTGAGTGCAGAGCCTCTGCCCAGAATTACTCCACGTCATGCTTGAGTGTCTGATGGTGAAGCTTCTGAATGTGGATCCAAGATTTTAACCTCAAGGATCTCTGCAGTCCCTTTCAGTTCCAGAAATCTTTGCTGCCCTTAAGACAGAAATGAATTGCTTACTCATAATCAATTTGAAATGCCAACTTTTTGAGTTGTCAATCAAAGCTTCAAATCTCCCCCAGCAATTCTCCTACTGAAACCTATGGTAGTAAACTTGCGATAAAATGGGGTAAATCATCCCTGTCCAGAGATGTTTATGTTAGAATCAATGTCTCCAAATGGAAAATGTTTAAAACAAACTTAAGTCTTGAGCATATACAAGCTTCATTCATCAAGTGATTGCAAGCAACATTGGTGAATAAAATTCACGATTCTATTCATTCAGGAAAACTGTGCACTAAAGACAAAATGAGACAACCACAAATAAAGACAGGTACTTAATAGACTTATGGGAAAATATTCAACCTTCCTTGTTAGTCAAGTAAGAGGTGACATTAATATGTCAACACTGAAACCCTGTAGGTTGACCTTCCCACAAAAGGACCTGACCTTCTGCAAAGATAGCTGGAAATTAGGACTCATCATTGTCAACCAAAAGGTTTCAGATTCTGGTCACCTGATCCTTGTATATCCCCAGCCACAAAGACTGATGTGGTGAATCCTGCCCCAAGCTTGCCATGCCCTACAGCTGATCATACCAGGGGAAAGACTGCTAGTATCTCCCACCCTTACCTCCAATCTTGAATACTGAGCTGGAAGGTTAGGACTGGAGCCAAGGTTCTGTTAGCTTGGATCACACGTTACTGTGCATCCTGTATTCTTAAAACATAAGACAAAACATCGGAATAGGAGACCGATGAAACGTAATAGGTAGACATTCAGGGATAGGCAGAAAGGGGAGAAAATTGGTAGAGATAACCCCAGAACCCAGAGCCTTGATAAGAAAGCTCTAGTAATAGTAGAACCAAACACATTTTGGAAGAATTTAGAGAAAGTTTTTTTTATTGGGAGGAAGGGTTGAGGGGAAACCTTGATCAAGGAGCTTTTTCTACCATATTAAATTTGAACTGGATAAAACCAAGTCCCTTAGACTGGAGAGGACTTCTCAAGGAGAAACACACTACACTCACACTCGCACTCACACTCAGAAATACCTGTGGCACCTGTGCTGTCCCAGCTCCAGCAGGTCAGAGTGCAGGCAGCTCGCCCCTCATTGGCTGGCTGGCAGCTCCTGAGCCTGCTCTCCTGTCCCTACTGCTGTCTCCTCTGTCTTCACCCTCCTCTCATTAGAGGGCACTCCCTCCTAGTAATGAGAACACTCAGGCTCTGGCTTCCTAGAGAGAAGAGGAAAGTCTAGAACAACACCACCACCCCCTCCAATCAAAGACAGAAAGGAAGAGGGGCAGAGTTCTACGGTTCTGAATCAGCTCCTTCCACTGCTCTGAGAAGAACTAAGATGAGACCAGATTCACTGAGAGTCACCAGGTGACCCACCCTATGAATAAGCCTGCCACTTCCTCCCTGGGAAAAAATGAAATTGCCCAACTCTCCTGAGCTCCTTCCTCATCCCAGTCCTCAAGCAGCCAGTCCCACCTGAGGACACATATGGGACCTAGGGTCCCTGACATCTGGGTACTTCCTGGAGTTTGAAGACTGTGGATTGAAGTCAAGACACCTGAGCTCCCTTCCACCCAAGTGATAGAATGGAGACTCGGTGAGAGAATGGAGACAATGAAATAGAAAGTTAAATTTCCAAAAGGCAGCTAACAGTGCATCATCACTAGAATTTGCTCTGACCTGGCCCATTTGTAGGTCATCCCACTTCAAAGTGTTTCTCTGAAACAAATGATTTTTTCAAGAAGTGCTCTACAAGACAAAGCTCTCAACCTCCTCACCAACTCCTGATCATGACCCTAGTCTTCACCTCTGGTCTCTCAGAAATCTTTTACCTTTTCTGAGGAAGTTTTCATGTAAGATTTCCTTGGATTTTCTGCCAAGGGTGGCTGAAATGTTACCATCTGAAAGAGACAGATGTTTAGAAGACTCTATCTTTCATGGTGTGGAGCTATAAGTTAAGCACTAGACCATAAGTTCAGTTTGATTTGCAAGGTTGACCATTCAAACTCTCCAGTCACTCCTCGGAAGCCCTGTACAGGGTTGCTATGAGTTAGAACCAACTCTATGGCACTTAACAACAGCAACAATCCTTCATGGCAAGTCATGGTGTGGCACTGCAGTACTGGGCCACAAGATCAGTTTGAACCACAAGGTCAGCAGTTCAAATCCACCAACCACTCTTTGGAAACCCTGAACTTTACAGGGTCGCTGTGAGTCAGAACCAACTCAATGGCATGAAACAACAACAATCCTTCCCCAAAAAACTTCTGCACTCTTCCATTTGTTGTTGCTAAGAGCCATCGAGTCTATTTTCCAATCCAGTTTTGGCTTCCTTGAGAGACTCAAATCATTCACCTATGTTCTTTGAGGTTAGAGAACAAAACAAATTCTGAAGGGGCAAGACTAGAGTGTAGGGTGAATGGAGAGAGGTTTCCTAATGAAATTCTGATAGAAGCCCCCTTGCTTCCCTCAAAGAGTGAGCAAGTGCATTGTCATGAGAGAAAAAAAATTCCTCGGCTCATCTTGCCTAGCCTTTTGCTCATCAGTTTTCAATTTTCTAATAAATTCTTCATAATAAATCCCCGTGATTTTCCTGTGTCCTTCAAGAAAATCTGTCAAGATTACCCCTTGGGAATCCCAAAAATCAATCATCATAGCCTTCTAAACTGACCTCTCTGCCTTGAGTTTAACTGGTCCAGCAGCCCCCCTAAGAAGCCACTATTTTGATTGGATTTTTTTAAAGGCATCTTATAAGTCCTGGTGTGACATTATAGGATCAATACTGGATCCTACAAACCAACCAAGGTTGGTTTGAACTGCAAGGTCAGCGCTTCAAACTCACCAGGCACACCTCAGAAACCCTAAATAAGGTCACTATGAGTTGGATCCGACTCAAGGGCACATTACAACAACAATGAGACGAAGACAAGTGTTTTACTGGGAGAACTTGTCTTCTGCAATCTCCTATCACATACACGTTTAAACATTTTGTTTAGAATAAATTTACAAATGTGGGAACTGGAACCCCAGTAGCAATACTTTTTGACTTATCCTTATATGTTTTCACCACAATAAAAAATGAAATTATCTTTATAAGTCAGAAATCATATATATAAGTGGTTATTGTTGGTAAATCTGTCGAGTCTGTTCTGATCCATAGCAACTTTGTATAGGGTTTCCGAGGAGCAGCTGGTGAGCTTGAACCATCGACCTTGCAGTTCAAAGTGACTTTGCAGTCCAGTACATTAACCTGTAGTGCTGCACTAAAACTCAGTCTTATATACAGAGTGTTTATTTTAAAAACTGGGGGTACTGAAAGAGATTTCTGCTAATTTACTCATTATCAAACTTAAAAGTGATGAATCAAAAGAATGACAGAAATTCTTTAGTACCTTGTCAGTTGACCTATTGAGTTTTCTGCATACATTTGCAGAACTGATGAATCACTGAATGTGTATTTTTTACTAAAGTGAATATTTGCAAGTAGTCATATCTACTAGAAAAACAAAAATCATCCCAAAGTGTTTGAATGTAGAAATTTTGCAGTGTAAAAGTCCACAAATCTAAAAATATTTTTTTTCTGTTTTTCTTATTTTATCTCCAAGATAGTATCTGTGTTAGACAGAATTATAAGCTGGCCACCATGTTTCCTTCCCTGTGGTATCCATGCCTGTATATAATTCCCTCCCTCTAAGTGTTAGTAGGACCTGTAACTTGATTCAAACCAAAAGAATATGGCAAAGATAATGAGATGTCTGTCACTCCCATGACTGTGTTACATTTAGTGGCAAAAGTGAAGAGATTTTGCGTGTAATTAAGGCTCTTAATCAGTAGACTTAAAGTTAATCAAAAGGGACTTTATTCTGAGTGTGCTCTTAAAAGAAGTATTGGACCATTTAAGAAAACATAAACAAAAATGTTTCACTGTGC